GTTATTTCAAAATGGTTGCTCCCAGAGCTCTCGTTTTCCGACCGCTGGTCAAGGGGAACGAAGACACTGGGAACGAGATTGAATACTGGTAAGAAACTAGCGTACTTACACATGCGCAGTGATGGTGATGATGGTGGCAGTGATGGTGATGATGGCATTTCTTTCGACGTTCTTGAGATTGTTTGTTGCTGTTTATTGATGCTCTGTGAAACAAAAAAATCACACAATCATTAAGAGTACAATCGTTAAGAGCAGCAGAATGGCTGGAAAAATTGCCCACATTTCAGGTGATTCCAGGGTAAAAGGAGCTACGTCACAGTTTGCGCGTGTTGAAAAGCTCAGCCTAAATTTTTCAAGTTCGTCGATTGCAATCCATGTTAATCTTCTCCATCCTTAACCATCCTTGTCCCTTTATGGTTTATAATTATCTCTTTGGTGTTTTTCTATCTTAGTAAACTACTATTTTCAGGTTTCCGTTAATTTAAAGGTAATTTTGCACATGGCTAAAATAACTGAAAATACCGTAACTGAGCTCCTTTAAACCCAAGAGAAAATTTCGAAATAACGCCTGGAAATGGTAGAAAAACACAAAAGGAAAACTGGGAGAACAAACAGGACCTGCGATGACAAACGCAGGACAAAATTGAAGTACATAGAAAAACTCTCTTTCAGTCAGGCTGTCGAACGACTGTAACTACACCAACCTGAAGGAGCTACAGCGTGACAAGCTCAAGCTACTGAACGTGCTAACAGTGTCACATCGCCTTCTTTGCAGCTTCTGGTTCACTGTTTCCAGCTCGTCGATTCTGACTTCTAGATTGTCCTGTGGGAGCAACAACAGAAATGCAATCCAGTACAATCATATTTTTTTGTCAAAACTACATACAATGTTCAGGCGACTGAAACTGTCGATAAGTTTCGTCGATGACGTACAAAGCGTCCACCACATCCATCACTAATTAGCAAGTTGGTTTTCCGACTTTTTCTTAATTCCTTTCGAAGTACGATTCTGCAAAAAAACTCTTCAAATGATTCAAGTAGACACATACCGTCAGTTTACAAAGCTCTTTGACTGCACCAACGTTTTCCATGAAGATTCTTTCCTGAGAAAGCACAATCAAAAGTATTTAGCAGTAAGCCTAGAATACTCTACAGAGAGGCAATGGCCTCATGGGTACGGTGTTGAACATGTACATGCAGAGCTCCAGGGTCTTTGTGTTGTGTCCTTGGTTAAGAAACTTTAGTCTCACAAAAGTTGTCTCCATCCCTGGGACAGAATAATGAATACCCTCCTGGGTTACGATGTATCCCAAGCATTGTTTTAATACAAAAGCCTATCGATACGAAATACTTGGAATGAAAAATAGTTTCATCTCACCCCAGGAGTATAAATGGGTGCTAGTGACTTTTCAGGGCATTTTTGCAAAATACAGTGTGGGTCAGTTGATCTGCGTCGATACTTGGCACAGTGCACTTAGAGATACTGCAAGTAATATGAAGAATAATTGACTTCAAACACACTGCACAACAGTGAATGAGAATGTACGCTCATTGAATAACTCTAGACATGTAATCTAGACAATAAATAATAGCTATACCTAGTTTGAATTTGGATTAGAGGGCCACAGGTTTTTAAGTTGTATAACTATTAGGTGTTTTGCCCTCCATAAATGAAGATTGATTGAAGGATGGAATTAAAACATACCTTATTGACCACTAAAAATCTTTCTATTGTTTTTCCATCAGCTAGAACCAGATCTTCCTACAGAAGACAAACCAAAAGTAAGAGGTGCCTCCAGTGAGAACAGTTCCGTGGTCAAACCTGATATCCTCAGAAGTAATTTGTCCCTGTCATCCGTCCACCTTAGTAAAACAACTCCAAAACGCAATTTGTGATAGATTTGATCACCTCATTAAAAGTAGGTAGGGCCAGAGGATCTGGATTCCAGATCAAGAGCTCCAGGTTGGAGCCCTGGCCGAGTGTTGTTTGGCAAGACTCTTTACTTTCACATTGCCTCTCTTTTTATGTGTGTACACCATATACAAAAGGGTAACAACTTGCTGTTCATGTCACTTAGCCTGTAAATGTACGTCTACAACTGTGCTCATTTCAACACTTACCTCACTATCACTACAATAGCATGGAATCCATACAAAGCCAAATGAGCTCACTTACCGACTCCTTGACAGCTTCTGGCAAGACTTCTTTAACTTCCTGCGCCAACACTCCCGTATCCTCCCCCTCACACTCACTTGTATCTAAGCCCGCATGCTCCATGTACTCCCGACTGTACCGGTATTTGTACAGCTTCATTTTGGACACGTTACGAAGCTGTTCACTTGTATCCACCTGAAAGAAATCATCAATGAACCAATCGGTAACTCAGTCAATTAATCGATCAGTCAATTTGACCAGGATTTTGCTGGCATTTGGCAGGGATTTCACCGTGATTTCACCGGGGTTGCCTAGGATGAGACCACGAACTTCACTAGGATTTGGCTGGGATTTGGCTTGGATTTGGTCGGGATTTGGGCCGGGTTGTGGTTGGGGTTCAGGCAGGATTTGGTTGGGATTTGAGCGGGATGTAGTCGGGATTTAGGCGGGATTTAGGCTGCATTTGGGTGCGATTTGGTCGGGATTTAGGTGGAATTTGGATGGAATTTGGTCAGGATTTAGGCCGGATATAGGTGGGATTTAGGTGGGATTTTGGCGGGTTTTAGGCGGGATTTAGGCGGGATTTAGCTGGGATTTAGCNGAATACCCTCCTGGGTTACGATGTATCCCAAGCATTGTTTTAATACAAAAGCCTATCGATACGAAATACTTGGAATGAAAAATAGATTCATCTCACCCCAGGAGTATAAATGGGTGCTAGTGACTTTTCAGGGCATTTTTGCAAAATACAGTGTGGGTCAGTTGATCTGCGTCGATACTTGGCACAGTGCACTTAGAGACACTGCAAGTAATATGAAGAATAATTGACTTCAAACACACTGCACAACAGTGAATGAGAATGTACGCTCATTGAATAACTCTAGACATGTAATCTAGACAATAAATAATAGCTATACCTAGTTTGAATTTGGATTAGAGGGCCACAGGTTTTTAAGTTGTATAACTATTAGGTGTTTTGCCCTCCATAAATGAAGATTGATTGAAGGATGGAATTAAAACATACCTTATTGACCACTAAAAATCTTTCTATTGTTTTTCCATCAGCTAGAACCAGATCTTCCTACAGAAGACAAACCAAAAGTAAGAGGTGCCTCCAGTGAGAACAGTTCCGTGGTCAAACCTGATATCCTCAGAAGTAATTTGTCCCTGTCATCCGTCCACCTTAGTAAAACAACTCCAAAACGCAATTTGTGATAGATTTGATCACCTCATTAAAAGTAGGTAGGGCCAGAGGATCTGGATTCCAGATCAAGAGCTCCAGGTTGGAGCCCTGGCCGAGTGTTGTTTGGCAAGACTCTTTACTTTCACATTGCCTCTCTTTTTATGTGTGTACACCATATACAAAAGGGTAACAACTTGCTGTTCATGTCACTTAGCCTGTAAATGTACGTCTACAACTGTGCTCATTTCAACACTTACCTCACTATCACTACAATAGCATGGAATCCATACAAAGCCAAATGAGCTCACTTACCGACTCCTTGACAGCTTCTGGCAAGACTTCTTTAACTTCCTGCGCCAACACTCCCGTATCCTCCCCCTCACACTCACTTGTATCTAAGCCCGCATGCTCCATGTACTCCCGACTGTACCGGTATTTGTACAGCTTCATTTTGGACACGTTACGAAGCTGTTCACTTGTGTCCACCTAAAAGAAATCATCAATGAACCAATCGGTAACTGAGTCAATTAATCGATCGGTATATTTGACCAGGATTTTGCTCGCATTTGGCAGGGATTTCACCGCGGTTTCACCGGGGTTGCCTAGGATGTGACCACGAACTTCACTAGGATTTGGCTGGGATTTGGCTTGGATTTGGTCGGGATTTAGGCGAGATTTGGCCGGGTTGTGGTTGGGGTTCAAGCAGGATTTGGTTGGGATTTGAGCGGGATGTGGTCGGGATTTAGGCGGGATTTAGGCTGCATTTGGGTGCGATTTGGCCGGGATTTGGTCGGGATTTAGGTGGCATTTGGATGAAATTTGGTCAGGATTTAGGCGGGATTTAGGTGGGATTTAGGTGGGATTTTGGCGGGTTTTAGGCGGGATTTAGGCGGGATTTAGCTGGGATTTAGCTGGGATTTAGGTGGGATTTAGGTAGGATTTAGGTGGGATTTGGTTGTGATTTAGGTGGGATTTATGCGGGATTTGGGTGGGATTTAGGCAGGATTTAGACGGGATTTTGGCGGAATTTAGGCGGGATTTGGTTGGGATTTGGTTAGGATTTAGATGGGATTTGGATGAGATTTGGCCAGGATTTGGTTGGTATTTGGTTGGTATTTGGTTGGGATTTAGATGGGATTTGGATGAGATTTGGCCAGGATTTGGTTGGTATTTGGTTGGTATTTGGTTGGAATTTAGATGGGATTTGGATGAGATTTGGCCAGGATTTGGTTGGTATTTAGGCAAGATTTGGCTTGGATTTAGCCAGATCTTGGTCAGGCTTGAGGTGGGATTTGTGTCAGGGTTTAGCCAGGATGAGCCTGTGATTTGATTAGGATTTGACCAGGATTTGATCGAGATTTGATTTGAACAGATGTAGCCAGGATTGGCCAGATATTGAGAAGGATATGGCTGAAAGAAAAGAGTTAAAACTAACTAAATCAATGACAACACGCTACCTCTTCAATGCTTTCCTTTATTCTGATGTCAGATGGATGAACAAGCCGGCCAGTCACCTTAAGGTTGCCGTAGACTGACAGTGCTTCCTCTGGCTTGTCAGTATTGATACCAACACGACCCTACGATACAAACACAATAAACAAAACAGTACTTAATAGTTATGGTAAGTTCCTCACTGAACCAAGAACGTAATGCACAACAACTCACAGAATATTAAAAAGTCCATACCATTCGAAACACTGAGTCTGAAGTTTGCCCTCTTGACCAGACAGCTTCCATGTCATTCTCAAACTGGCCTGGATTGGATGCCTGGCAAAATAGTTATATTATTAGAAACTGAGGTACAAGTACTGGTATTAAGCCTTTTATGACCCAAGTTTGGAATACTGTGATACATTCTTAAGCATTTCTGAGAGCTTTGTGGTACATATCAAAGTAGTCAACCTACTACAGTGGAACCCAGTTAATATGGTCACACCAACAGGCCACAAAAATCTGGCCATATTAACAGGTGGCCGTATATTAAAGGGGTTCTTTAAAGTGACTGACTGGGCTTTTGTTTGGGCCAAAATTAAGTGGCCATAATAACAAGGTGGCTGTATGAACTGGGTGGCCGTAAGGCGGGGTTCCACTGTAGATGACAAATTTCTTAATTCTCATCAACTGTCTACTTGGCAATGTACTGATACGTGATGAGAAATTTGATTTCTGTCAGCAAAGCAAAAAGCAGGTAATTACTTTTAGCTGGATCAGAGTGTTCATTAACTCACCCTGACAATGATCCTTTCTGACACATTGGCGCACACCAAATATTCCTTGTTTTTTGTATGAGCATACACAGCAACAACAAGCAGGAAATATCTGTAATAATAATTGTAGCACATCACATCATAATTTTTTAAACCATTAAAACTAATGTTTCCTTTTTGCATAATTTATTCTTTTTTTGCTGTTGGTGGTTTTGATTCTGTTTCAACTAATGTTGCTATTCTTTGTTTTCAGTAAATTCTTGACTATTCAAATTGTTAACATAAATTTCACGGTGTAATTTTACAACGTAATCATGTATACAGTGAAAATTCAAATGTACAACCGTCAAACATTTGCAACTGAAGATGATAAGGAAATGTCAAAACATGTTTTGTAAAATGAAAAATGTTGTTTCCTTTTTGAAAATTAATAAATGTATTATTACAATTAAGCAATTACAGTAAACCCAAGGATTAAAATATATCATTTAGACCTTGGTCGTAATGAGCAAAACATTTTAAAAGAAATATATATTGGCACGGGGCAAAAAAACACTTAAAACCCTACTCTGACTTCCTTATATAAAATATTTACAATAACTGTACTTGCACCAGCTGGACAAGATAATTTCTTCTCAGATGCTATACATTCCCTCAATCTTAAATCAAGACATCTCTATTTTAGGTTCACCAAAAACAAAAGTGAAGGAAAGCTATGATAGCAATGAATTGCCAGTTATAATAAAGTTTGTCTTACCTCTGGTCAGGATTTGGTTTTCCTTTTTTTCTCATGTTGTTAGCTGTAGTCTCACTGCAAGAGATTTGAATATTACAAGAAAGTTTCTTGAAAACAAACTAGATAACGTTCATCCCTTCACTGATGAGTGGCAAAAAAATTATTTTACATGCTGTCTAATTCCATGATGTTTTCAGGAGGTGCATTCTTTAAGGTAATAATCTCACTGGTGAATATTCAGCATACTTTTGGTTAAAGAAGTTGTCAGCTATTGTCTTAACTAGAGCCAGCAACATAACACTTAATAGGCTTTTCCTGGAATCTGGAATACAGGAAATGAAAACCAGGAATTTGAAATCAGGAAATAAGTGATAAAGAATCACGAGGATTATAACTCAGGAATGAGGAACAGGGTTATTTAGAATTGGAAAATCCAGAAATGAATATTGCAGGCTGTTAAGTAAGGAGCAGCGTTGCACATTTTTTGTCCTTCTATTTATATAATATATTTTTAAAAACTGTAAATGTATGAGCGAATAAACTTGTTGTTGTCGTGTTGTTTAATTCTTAAATCTTCACACACGTATGCAGAAATTAGATACAAAAATCCAGCACCTAAAATGCAGTCTTCCCACAGTGATCTTTGCTTGCTCTTTTGGTGTTATGTCAAATCTGAAAGCAATGAAAAATAACACAAGTTATGTACTGGTTGTGAGGTAATTAAATCAGGCAAATTAATCACTTACTGCAGAGGTTCATAGTGCCTCTTGCTTCTGTCTGCTTGAGACTGTTCAACACCAATTTGACTGGCTTGAGATTCCATCTAAATCAACGTAACCACAAAAAGAATTTAAACCAATAATGCTAATGCATAAGGCAAACACACAATGTGCATGGTCTACATATTAAAATTCCACATATTGAAATTATTTCATAGTATTAGCACTACATAAATGTCTAATTATTATTATTATTATTATTATTATTATTATTATTATTATTATTATTATTATTATCACTACAATGAACTTAAGGTAGCACATTTTAACTGCATGCAAGTTTGAGAAACACCTTTGTAATGAACATACCTTTATTCCATAAAGGTGTAGACAGAACTTGTCAATGCGTCTTAATTCATTTTGCTAAGAGACAAAACAATATGCAAGTTTAGTAGGTTTAGCTGGAGCACTTCATAACACAGGACTTGTTGCACTGTATGCATAACTGCTGAAGAGTCAAGAGTGGAAAATGTAGCCTTAGTGTCCGGTTTGAAGAGTATACAGTTATGGTGAACAAATATGAAATGGAGAGTTACATTGTCGTCAATAAGAAATCAGATGAAAGAGCAAGAAATGGCAACTATCCTCAGCAAAAATAAATGTATACACAAGTTTCATGTTAATGCAGGTTTTGCATGACCTCATCACTTGTGTACATTTTGTAATAAGACATTAAATGTTAACAGTCATTACAAACCTCTCCTTGGACATATTTAGGCAATTGTGAAGACTGCAGGTTCATGTAGGCTGTGATCTAGAAAATAGAAAAATCAAAAAACTTATGTACTAGCATTAACCATATTTAAAGTAACTGTTGTGGATTGTTTCATGTTCCACTTGACCAAGTTCCATTGATTTGATGCAAGAGAGTGATTGAAGTGTAGCACACATATAATTCTCCCTTTTTTGAAGAATCCTGATGGATCAGTAAGCCAAGCATACCACGCAATGAATGCAAAATGAAATCTACTTATTACTGCTAGTCAGAGAGTCAGAGATCAACAATTAAAACACTGACAAAGATTTAGTCCCAACAGGATTTAACTTGCTGATATCAAACAAAAGTGCAAAAGTTCAGTATTATCACGGCTCGAAAACAATTGCTAATAATTATTACAATAATTAGATTTTATTATCAATTATTTCCCTTAGGTTTCTTCAACTACCTGAAGATGATTCTTCTTTTGACAAACAAATGCTTCATCAGCAAATGAGTAATTAAAGCCTTTGTCAGCATCCACTCTGAACTGAGGAGGAGGTCTGAACAGAAAAGCAACCGTGTTTGTAACTCAAACGTGACATCCAACTATTCATTCTGTCAATTTATACTTTAACAATACAATCAATCTACTAGCTGGCTACAGGGAGCCTAACTGGGGGCATAAAATCTTATTAAACATAAAATTCTATTATACACTTGAGGACACCCATTAGTGAAACTCAAATCAGCAGCACTCTTGATGGATTAATAACCAACTTAGCATGAGTTCATGCTTGACCATGCTATCACCGTGCACTATAAGTGTAATGTTATCTTGACAGTTATTAACCTCTCTTACTACAAAGGCATATAATTGGGTGCTGGCAAACTGTTGGGAAATCTGGCAAATATTTTTGGGCACAAGTTGAGATGGATAAGCACCCCAAATTGCTAACTAGGAAGTAGCTGCAATAAACCCTCCCAGATGCTTCGTGTCATAAAAGCATGAGTTGCAAAGTCAAATAACAACACAATTCAGTAGATCTGTAACTGATCCTTAAGCCACAATTCTAATAGCAATTGTTAGGATATGTTGTGTGTTTTAGTTTCAGAATACTGATGTCATATTTATATGATCAACAGTCCAGAGTACTCACAGCTTTTGGGAGGCATCGTCAAACATGCTGCAACACTCTTCAGTTTTGAAAGAGGACCATTTTAAGCACTGGTATGAGTTTTCTGGGTCGGGCGTCACTGGCGTGGTAAAGGGATCAGGAGAATCCAGGCAATCAGAGCCACTACCGTCCACACAGTAGTCATCTGAGAGGGAAATTTATATTTAAAAAGTCACTTCCGCATGTAAATGTTAAGTGGTGAGACTTAAGCCAATCAAACTTCAACAAAATTTTAAAAATAGGAAATATTGGTCACCTGGCTCTGATTTCAATGAATTAAGCCTGAGAGACGACATGCCATTTGCTGTTAAAGATTCACTGCACTCAGAGTCTCTCTTTCTCTTCCGTCTGGGTTCAGAGACACTGCTGTAAAAAACAGAACAATCGGTCATGAACACAAGGTATCACAAGTTTGAAAAATGTTCATGGATAGAGGGTGCATTGAGCTACTACAGTACATATCATTAGAAATTGAACAGTGTGCAATACCATTTTATATTATGAAGTATTTAGAAATATCTATACATGCAGCTATTACAGGGCTCATAAAAAACTTGAATTCCAGCTTGACCTTGGGACAAGTAGCTCTCAATTTTTGCTTGCCCTGGGCAAGTCTTGCTCCATGGACAGAATAACATACAGCCATAAAGCCCTAAATTTCTAAAGAATCTTCATTTGAGAGCCCTATTCAATGCCCTCTAACCAAAAGGGCTGAAACTCTTATTAACTAAATATGTCAGAGGTTTGGATATTCATTCAGGTCATATTATCAAGTGACATAATGTATGTACCTGAGGGACAGCTGTGACTGGAATTCTCCAGCATTGTTAAAAGGAATCCCTTGCTGAAGATATAATCCTCCAGAGTGCGAAGATGATAACACTACATTATGCGTGCCTGGCAAGCCACACAATAGCACTAAGTGATCAGAAAAATCAAGTTAAGCTGCAGTTATCATGTACAAGGTGTCATTGCAGTCAATCAATCAGTCAGTCTTGGTCAGTTCAAAGTCATCTTTGAGAGATTTCAGCCAAATTCTTTTAAGGGCAGAAAACATGCATTGCTTGTTATTGCTGCAGCCTATCTAATTTTTGGGTGCATTCCTTTGGGGTGATCTGGATCAGGATCAGTCATCCAACATCACTGATCCTAATCCAAATCACCCCAAAGGAACGCAGCCAAAAATTCTCATGGACTATCTCAGGGTTCAAAAGAAACTTGAATTCCAGATTGTCCTTGGGAAAAGTAGCTCTCCAATTTTGCTTGAGCAAGTCTTAGTTTGCTCTTTTAGTGATGTAGTTGGACAACACGCCTGATCCTTCGCCCATCGGGCAAGTAAGACTGAAAAGTTACTAGTCCAGCAGGAAAATCTACTTGTCCTGGACGAATGGTACATACTTTTTTTGAGCCTGCTGTCTGTGATGGAATATACTCCTAATCACTGCATAGTAACAGATTGAGGTCACATTCTGATCTATTACATACTGTCAGAAGGAATGGACTTTAACCTCTAAAGGTTGACTAACTTGTAAAAGGAATGGGGTTCAAAATCAAATGTACACCCTAAGCAATCAGGAAAGTTTTTTTAAATATCTTAGACAAAAGTCTATTCTCTTACCTTGGTCTACATCTGGTGAATCAGGTCCATCTGAATCTGGTGGCGTCAAAGGAAAGTTTCCACTTCTGTGCTNCTGCAGCCTATCTAATTTTTGGGTGCATTCCTTTGGGGTGATCTGGATCAGGATCAGTCATCCAACATCACTGATCCTAATCCAAATCACCCCAAAGGAACGCAGCCAAAAATTCTCATGCACTGTCTCAGGGTTCAAAAGAAACTTGAATTCCAGATTGTCCTTGGGAAAAGTAGCTCTCCTGAATTTTGCTTGAGCAAGTCTTAGTTTGCTCTTTTAGTGATGTAGTTGGACAACGGGCCTGATCCTTCGCCCATCGGGCAAGTGAGAATCAAACGTTACTAGCCCAGCAGGAAAATCACTTGTCCTGGACGAATGGACCATACTTTTTTTGAGCCTGCTGTCTGTGATGGAATATACTCCTAATCACTGCATAGTAACAGATTGAGGCCACATTCTGATCTATTACATACTGTCAGAAGGAATGGACTTAAACCTCTAAAGGTTGACTAACTTGTAAAAGGAATGGGGTTCAAAATCAAATGTACACCCTAAGCAATCAGGAAAGTTTTTTTAAATATCTTAGACAAAAGTCTATTCTCTTACCTTGGTCTACATCTGGTGAATCAGGTCCATCTGAATCTGGTGGCGTCAAAGGAAAGTTTCCACTTCTGTGCTCTCCTCCAAAATTGGGAATGTCAATAGGACTGAACAAAATTAACAAGATTATGCACATCACTACACCATCATACTTTCTCACTCACACCCTCCACAGGTTCAACTGGGAACAATGTTCTACGGAATTACAGATCTAGCCTGGGTTGTTTGAAAGGAAGATAACGCTATCCACCAGATGAAGCACTATCCAGTGGATAGCATGGTTTGTTTTGTTAACACTTAACCACTGGATAGCAATTTTAAGCAGAGGATAGCGTTATCCATCCTTCAAACAACTGTGGGCCTGAAGGCTATGAGGGTACATGTAACTAGTCTGAAAAACCAGCTCAAGTATAATTATTGTGCAGTCTTGATTTTGTCAAGGTTAAGAAGTAATTTCAATGAGTACTCACTGTCCCACGGAGATCCCCTGTCCATCAATAGGAAAACCAAGGCTACCTGTTGGACAGAAAAAAACAATCTGACAATCTATTGAAAAGTAATGATGGGAAGAGAAAGAAATCAATGAATGATCCTGAAGTGAAAATCCATTATTAAATAGTAATACTGTACCATTGTATTGTGGTCCTAAACTTAATGAGAGAAAGTGATCATTGTTAGCTATTGCATCTGCAGCAAATCCAAAATTGAGCTGTCCTGTGCCATCGATGCATCTAGTAAATGAAAAGCAAAAAGAACTTTCAATAGAGCCATTCATTCAAGGAAAATATATAAGCTGCGGCTTGTGCCAACTTACCGCATAAACAGTACTGTAACATTTAAACCAGTTCACATCTTACACAAGCTGCGGATAACATAACCCGTGGCTTGTGTAAGATGAGGGTTTTGAGCTTGGCTTATGTAAGCCACACAACCACTGATATAAATGGTATCGCGGCTTGTTTGCAGCTTACATAAGACGCGAACTCACACTGCACAAGAGCAAGCTC